TATTAATATTATTTCTACTATTTCATTATATTATTTTTAAATAATATAGGAAATCCTTACCTGCAATAATTACAATGTCACCTTTCATCAATTCCAAAAATAAAATATTTATAATATATAGAAGTTTTTTTTTTTGCAGATGTAGAATATGTAGTTGTACCATCTTGGTGGATATTAGAAATTACAACAATAGAAATTTCATCAGTAGAAATTTCAACAAAAGAAATTTCATCATCAGAGATATTTTCATTATTAGATAAGATAGATATTTTTTATTTTTTAGATTTAAATATAAGAGAAAATATAAGAGAAAATATAAGAGAAAATATAAGAAAAAATATATAAGAAAAAATATAAGAGAAAATATAAGAGAGAATATAAGAGAAAATTAGTGGTATTTATAGAAATTAAACTCTGATAGCTTAATTTAATAAGCTATCAGAATTTAATTTAAAAAAAATAAAGAACGTCACTTTAAATTTTTTTAAAGAGCGCAATCGTTACTCTTTAAATTTTTTAATTTTGGGGGCTTTAAATAAAAACCCTGGGATTTTTTTTAGCGATCTGTCACTTTAAATAATGACACATTACTTTTTTTATTTTTTTTAGTGATCTGTTGCTTTAAATAATGACAGATCACTTTTTTTTTAACGATCTGTCACTTTAAATAGTGACAGATCACTTTTTTTTTAAAAAAAAATAATTTTTTTTTAGCGATCCATTGTTTTGAATAGTGACAGATCGCTTTTTTTTATTTTTTTAATGATCCGTCACTTTAAATAGTAACGGATTGCTTTTTTAATTTGATTTTTTCCGTTGCTATTTAATAGCAACAAATAATTTTTTTTTAAAAAAAAATTATGTAGACTTTTATCTAAAGCCTCAAAATTTTTAAGCTCGAGCCTTGTGAGCCAGGCCTTAGTTGAGCTTGGCTCGCGAGCCTATGAGCCTATAATATTAGGCTCAGCTCAGCTTGGATCGACTTAGCTCGCTAGATTTGTGGGCCTTAAGGCCTATGAGGAGCTTTAATAAAAACTAATTATCGATTATCTATTAATATTATTTTTTCGATAATAAAATAATTACTATATTTTTTTTGATAATATTTATTTTATTGATAATTATTACTATAATTATTTTTGTAATAATTATTATTTCAAAATAATACTATCTTTTTTTTAATAATAATTATTATCAATAATTAATTATTTTAATAACAATTATTTTAATAATAATTATTCTTGAAATAATTATTATCAAAATAATTGTGAAGTTGGTATAACATAATAGTACCAATCATATTTTAGATCGTAATAAATATTTTATAAACCATAAAAAAAAAAAATTTAAAAATGATTAAAACTGGAGGTGTGAGATTTGATGAAGTATGAAAATACTTTATTCAAACTAATAATCAAAGAAATGGACACTATTCAGCTACATGTTATCACTGTGATACTACTTGGACACGTGAAAAGTCAATAGTTATGAAAGCACATTTAACTAATATTTGTAAATTGTGTTCTGAAGATATAAATAAATATTGGAAAGATAAATTGGCAGAACAAATTATTAATTATACACGTACTTCAAAACAATCTGATTTATCTCACAATCAAGTTACAATCACATAACATTTTGGCTTAAATTAGTCACTTCCTTTACAAGTTAATTTACATTTAGATAAATCATTAATAAAAATGTGAATAATGGCAGATGTACCTTTTGAAATTATAGAAAATCCATTTGTAAAAGATTTTTTAAAAGAGTTAAATCCAGGATATATACCTCCTTCTTGTATAACTCTTTCAGGACGATTTTTAGATAAAGAAGTTGCTCGAGTAAATAAATATATAGATCAAGAATTAGAAAATGCAAAAAATCTTATTCTAGATAAATATTAATTAATTATATTAAAAATAAAAATAATTAAAATTTGTTATTAAATAAAATTTTATTAATTTAGTATTGGATGTGTAGACATCTATTAGATCTGATTCTTTATACAACTTTATAATTATTACATCTGAAAGAAAAGAGTATCTTATTGCTCTTAGATTTTTCCAAAGAAAGTCATACTGGTGAAATGCTAGCTAATGAAATTACAATAATTATTGAAAAGATTGATAGTGAAAAGTTTGCAGCCATAGTAACAGATACTACTGCTAATTGTAGAATTGTACAAGAAAAAATACAATTTTCATATTCTCACATTTGGAATATTCGTTGCATTACACATGCATTTAATTTAATTGCATCAGATTTAGTAAAATTAGATGTAATAAAAGAATTTATTACAAAGTATAACAAATTATATCATTTTTTTCATGATTTTAATAAAAGTAATGCATATTTGAAACAAGGTTTAGCAGAGATAAAAATTAAGTCTGAGGGATTAAAAATATAGATTAAAACTCGTTGGAGATCACTTTATTCAACAACAAATTCTATTTTAAAAGCTCAACCTGTATTTGACTAGGTATTTAATATTTTTTTTTATTTTAATTTATTTAATATTATTTAAAAATTAATTTTATTTAAATTATATTAGATTTTAAGTGAACAT